AGGGGGCGGGAGAACCCGCCGCTCACATTTTTTGGGACCAGGCCAGGGCGGCCGCGTTCTGACTGTGGGTAGGGCTGCCGACCGGCAGGTGGCAGGGACCAGTTCCTACCTTTCCGCAGGCGCCCAATGCCTTGTGACTGCTGAGCTCTGCTCCGGGCCTGGTTCTTTGAGCCGCATCTGCTCCGTATCAGGGCTCTCGTATCACCTGAGTTTCATAAGCCCATGTTTTTGCCTATCAACACAAGTCGTAAATAATTAGTTGATCGCTTAAAAATTATGCACAGGAGTGCCAGCAGGTCTGCTATCCTATAACTAGAAACGACCATAGAGTTGAAGCCACAGGCACTTGGTGTCAGTCCAGCAAAAGCAAAGGAAGTCAGTATTCTCTCAGGCGCTGGAGTGGCTTTCCCTCCATAGTCTACTTTAGCAGTTTTGAACTACGGATTATAATTCTCACGGCTTGTGGGATGGACGAGACAGATTGCAAATACGCCTCGTATTTTTTCTTACATATCCTCTCCCATAGGACCCCGCTGGCCAATCTAGACTGAATGATGAATTTATTTTCCAACCTATGTTTGTTGGTTTGTTTGTTGGTTTCTGTACCAGGGATCGAACTCAGGACTTTGCACTTGCCAGGCAGGCGCGGCACCACTGAGCTACATCCTGGCCCCCAACCTGTATATTTTTGCAGGGGGCTTCTGGAGTCAATGTGTTGACCCACAGAAATGACTCTCAAGCATGTCAGCTCCCAGGGACATGTTGGAGAGGGAGTAGTTTGACACAGGGCTGGGCTGGCATTCAGAGCCCTCAAATTGTGCCAGCTAGAGTACTTGCCTGATTCAGCCCTGTATAGGGATAACAGGCTATTTATATACATTCTATCCCACTCTCTCCCCACCCGCTCCTTTGCAGGGGTCAGTCTAGCTTTGCCCTCTTAACAGGCCCCAGAAACCCTTCCCAGGCTCAGGCATCCATAGTGCACTGGAATCACCACAGACTTGGGTTTGAATCTTGTTGTTCCTACTTACTGTCTGACCCTGGGACAGAATATTCGATCTTATTGAACCTCAGTTCCCATGTCTCTCAAATGGGAATAATTGCAATGACAGCTTTTTGAGGATTGAATGAGGGAACACAAATAAGACAGTTAATATAGTGCGTGCTGGGTATATTATAAGCTCTCAATATTGTTGTTGCTGTTATCACTGAGCATTCAGCTTTGACCACTCTTTCCTTAGAGGTCCCTGTCTTTCCCTTCCCTGGCCTTCTGGGCCATGCCTCTGAAGCTCCATGCTGTACTGGAGTTGGGCTGGTTTCAGATGAAAGCTCACCTGTCACCTATTTGGCCATTAGCCACATGGGATTATTCCCTTGGGTAATCAGTATGGGGCCTAGAACCTCAGCGATGGTCACCGCCCAGGCCACACCTTTGTCTGCTCTCAGCAACTGCCTGACCATCTACTTCCCAAAGGCAAAGCCACCTAGGGGTCAGGATTCCCCCTAGGGGAGGACGGCGGGAGACACTGCCTGACACATGGCCAAATCACCCGCTTCCCACCACCCTAGGTTCACGCCCTGCTCTCCTGTCCCAGCCTGCCTCTCTTTTCCCATGCTTCTGCCTCTTCACCTCCACATCCGCCTCAGCCCCACTTATGGGGCAACTCCAAGCTGTCATCACACCTGGGAGCCTCACCCCAGCCAGGTTTTACAGGAAGGGCCTGGAGGGAAAAAGACAAAAAGCTTGAATTATGTTTGGGATAGTCACTTTTCATCTCAGACCTTAGCTAAATAAATCACTACTCATACTGGGGCAATCTCATTATAGCTCATTTATTCCAGAATTCCTGAGCACTTTTCAGGCAATGGAGACATAATGATATACAAAACAGGTGGGACTGAGTGTAGTGCCACATGTCTATAATTCTAGAGCTTGGGAGGCTGAGGCAGGAGGATCACTGCAAGTTTAAGGCGAGGCTGGGCTATATAGTGAGTTCAAGCCCAGCCTGAACTATAGAGCAAGACTGTTTCAAAACAAAAACAAAAACAAAAAACGACCAAACAATAGGAAAAATAAAACGAACAGCCAGGGTTGTGGTTTCTCTGAGTTAATATTCTGCAGTAGGGTAACAGGTAACACATCAGGTAAACAAACAAGCAAAATATATCCTACAGTGGTAAGGGCTAAGATGAAAATTAAAATGATGTGCTATACGAAGTTGCATTTCAGTGCCCCAAATGACACTTTAGATTTTATGATGGAGCAGGTGACATGTAAACTGAGGCCTGAATGAGAAGAAAACACACTTGTGATCATCTGTGGCAAAAGCATTGCACGTCATACAAGGAGTGCAAAGACTGAGGCAGAAATAAATTTGGCGCATTCAAGGAATAGCAAGAAAGCCCGAAAAGGAATTATATAAAATATTACTGGAGCGAAGGCTAGGGTAGAGAATGTAGGATATTATTATACCAAGGGAGACCTGGATTTTGTTCTCTGTCATTTCTAGAAATGAGATATCAGTAGGAAAGCACAATTATCAAGATTCCTCCACATCTTCTCTTCCTGCTGCCCAGCTCCCACCCCCAGCTCTGGCTGGCAAGTACCAAGGACACAATCCTAAGGAAGCAGAGTTCAAGCCAACAATTCTGCTTTCCTTGTCTGTTAACCATGAGGCTTGACTGACTGGCTGCTGGCCACCAGTGACCAAAAGAGGGCAACTCCAGAGCAGAACCCTGGCACCCTGTTTTTCAGCCCATATTGGGCTCCCAGGTCTGTGCAAAAGTAGGCTGCAGGGGATTCTGAGTGCTACTGACTCACTACCACTAGGACACAAAGACTTTAACTTGAGAAGAGCACTTGCAAGCCAGTTTGTAGGACCTAGAAGATAGGGGTGCAGGTGTTAACAAGAAAGATGACGCTTGGAGAGAAACCAGCCAGGGTCCTTCTCTGCTGTGGCTGAGATGTCTACACTAGTAAATTAGTTCCTTAATCTGGTAGTGCATTAAAAATTATCTGGAATATGGTGAAGATAAAACTGCAGAAGCCAGTTGTGCACGCCTGTAATCCCAGCACTACTGAGAGACGGAGGCCAGAGGATTACGAGTTCAAGCCCAGTCTGGGCAAGTTAGTGAATTCGTGAGACCCTGTCTCAAAATGAAAAGAAAACAAAAAATTTTTAAAGGGCTGAGGATATAGCCCAGTGTGGAGTTAATGGGTTTAATCCCCAGTACAAGAAAGGGGGGCCAGGGATTTAGCTCCGTGGCTCCGCCGAGTGCCTTGCAAGTGCAAGGTCCAGAGTTCTCACCTAAAAAATGAACATAATTCTAGTAATTATTAGAATAGGGCTCTTGTAATAATTACATCAGATCAGGTACATACAATAAAATATGATATCCAATTTATTGTAGATACTCAATGACAGCTGTTTTATGGACAAATTCATTTCTGTCTCTGTCTCCTTTTTGCTTTTCAAGTGGGAGTTTGAATAAAATGCTGCAATCAGGGGCAGAGAGCAGACAGTCTCTGAGATGGCCATGCTTATCAAAGAGATGATGGATCTACAAGACCACCCAGAGTTTTGGAAATTCTATCCCAAGACTGTAATCCTGGTTCAAAGCTCAGAGAAAAGTATGTACTCTGAGGGGAAAAGATTCAGTTGCTTTCTCCTTCCACTCTGACAGGGGAAGTGAATCCACAGCTCTGCTGGGTTGGAGAGGATAACGGGGGAGCCTCCACTGGGGGTCCTACCATTGTCTGCCTATGACTCCAGTTACCCAAACGTAGAAGGTCGGGCTGGGGGTCATTGTTCCTTAACCTCTCACCCTATCTGAGCCAGTGGATCACACAGTTTTGGCTGTGTCTGGTTTAGAATTCAGGTTTGCTCTTTAGAGTCCTCTTGCAACTTCTTATGCTGGAGAGGGGGCGCCTGGAGGAATGTGCTCAGTACACACCAGGGGATGGACAGGCTCTGGTGTCTGATTTGGGCCAGGCTCCATTCGAATGAAATAAAGAATGAGGTAGATAGAGGCTGGGTTTTTTATGGGGGAGGGGAGGTTTCCAAGAATCCTCTTACCCTAGAAGATGTCAAGGAAAGGATGTTTAAAACGTGCCAAGTTCCCTGCCATTGAGTGGTAAACATCTCCAGACACAGATATTTGCCCTCGACTCTCCCCTAACATAGATGGCTCACGGCTGGCAGGGAGGGGACAAATGATTTCTCCCTCCTCACACAGCCCATCTCTCTCTCCCTAAGCCTCAGATTCCTCACTAGAAGACTGAGAGTTGAAACAATGGTGCTATATTTAGGCATGGCCAGTGATGTCCATCATGAATTGTTTTCTGTCATGCTGCTGTCCAAAGGTTGCTGAGACAGTTCTGTGACAATCTGCTGTGCCTGATCCACAAGGCAAGATAATCTTTCTCTCTGAGTCAGCGTCTCAGCCTACAAGTGGGAAGAATAACCTATGGGGGTGGCGTGATAGACAATTGAAGGAGATAGCATCGTTGAAGCCCTTAGCAAAATGCAAGGCTCTATATGAATAGGTCGATATACCCTTGTTTTTTTGTTTGTTTGGTTTTTGATTTTTTGTGTTTTTTTGAGGCAGGGTCTGATATGTAGTTTAGGCTATCCTTAAACTCACTAGGGGTCCAGGCTGGTCTCAAACTCACAGCATTCCTCTTGCTTCAGCCTCTGCGTGCTGGGATCACAGGCGTACACTACCACGCCTGGCCACCTCTGTTAATTTTTCCACTGCTTAACTTTGGAATGCGGTAACATCATACTATGTGCTGGGAATGTGTAAGTTCAGTTCCCCTTAGAAATGCAGTCATGGAGCTGCAATTTAACAACCATTCATGTACTTTTTAATAACAGGGTTTGGTTTGTCTATAAAGAGATACCGTCCCCTGGTGGATATTCTGGGAATTGGAGGGAAGAGTTTTTAAATCTTCACTAGGGAATTGTCAGAGGTTTGGCAGAAAGCGGGTCAGGTAAACATAAGAATTGCCACACATCCCATACCTTTTTTTTCTATACTTTTTAAAAGTGTCCTCCTGGACACATAAACTGGTGAAAAGTTTGATTATAATTCCTCGAGCCTGGAACCATCTCTAATTTACACAAACATACAAGAAAAGATCTTGTGTGGATGGACCTTCCCAGGAAGGAAATTAGTGTGAATAGCTCATTTGGGTGACATCTTGAGTTGCCAATACAACGCGTCTGTATCAGACTTTATTTATAGCTGACACACTCTAGATAAGTCTTTGTTGATGTCAACAATGGGCTATTTCTAAGCAGATGTGACCAAGAACTTACACATTGAAATAATACTATTTTAAAAATTATTTCTGTTTTTATATTAATTGGGATTTTTTTTTCAAAAAAAGATGGAGTCTGGGTATGTTTCCCAAGCTGGTTTCAAACTCCTGAACTCAAATGATCCTCCTACCTCAGCATCCTGGGAAGCTGGAACTACAGGCACACCTCTGCACCTGGCTCCAGGGTATTTTTTTCACAGTACTGGAGTTCAAACCCAGGACTTTGTGCACAGCAAGTTTCTACCACTGAGCAACATCCCCAGCCCAGTACTGATGTTTTAAAGACGAGATGTTCAGATAGGGTATTATCTTTGAACTTCATTTCAAAATAGTAAAGGAATATTAACATAATTTGTCATAAACAGGAAATATCAATTTTGAACGTGTTGGGCACTGACATAGGACATGCTCATATGCAAAACCTTTCTGGATCCTTTGGGGTTTTTTTCCATTATGTTTATTGGTACATTTCAAGCAAACAGTACAGTTACATTTATCGTTGGGATCTTGTACCTTTACATGATATGTCTTGGTTCTTATTTTTTTTCCCCATTCCCCTGTCCTCCCTTCACCCTCTTTATCCATCCTTATTTACAAAGTTTGTTTGCATTTTTTCCTTTTTTCACATTTTTTCTTTTCCATCTGTATCATTTGTAAAAGTGCTGTTCTGGATATTCGTAATATGATGACCTATGTATAAATTGTTCTTGTAGCGTGATCTTGCTGTCGTGGCTATCTGACTGAGGTAATTCCTTTATTAGATAATGACAAATGTGGAACTCGTAAGTTCCCTTTTTGCCTCCACTGTCAGGAAAATCACAGTTAAGTTTTGGTGTTAAGTTGCCAGTTGCAGCTAACCCCAGCTTAGCACTGGGTCTTGTCTTTTTTTTTTTCTTTTTTCACTATGCAGTCTAGGTATAACCAGCACTGAAAAATAGAACTTTAAAAGTTAGGATTTATTTCTTTTACAGATAAGCAACTTCTCCAAACTTTCTCCTGCTGAGCACACAGCCAACCTCTTCTCTCCTCAACCCAAAAGAAAGGACAAAATACATAGATGCCAGCCCCAGGAGGCCAGGAGTCTGGTTTCTTTTCCACAAGAAAGAGGAGGATGAGCTGAATGTAGGTAGAAGTGATAAAGTAAGTGTGAAGATCTGCACTCTCTCTCTGTGCTCCCCTCCCCTCTGTTCTTTGCCCACCTATATACAGTGAAACAAATAAGACCCTCCATCTCCTCAGAGTTAACTTTGAACAAATCCTTTTTCCTTTTTATCCAAATATAATGCCTCCTTTGATTTGGTCAGTAGCAAGCACATTAATCTGAGCATATGAGCCTAAATGGCTGGTAATACAGGCTGCCTTGAACTCCATGTAGTCCAAGCTGGCCCAAACTCCTGA